ATACACCCCCAAACCATTACCGAGCTCCCGCCGTATGACACAGTCGGTTTAATGTTCCTGGGGATGTAGGCCGTGTTCTGGTGCCTCCAAACTCTCGTTCTTCCATCAGTGACGTGGAGCAGAAAGCGACTTTCGTCTGACCAATGGATCCCTCTCCAAGTTCTCAGATTCCAGTTCTGTCGCGCAATACACCATGCTAAACGAGCAGCTTTGTGGTAATCTCTCAACAAGGGACGCTTCATGACTCGTCTAGCCCTCAGTCCTGCTACTTTCAGACGGTTCCTGACGGTTCTGGTGCTGAAACGACGATTCGGCAACCAGCACGTTTTCAGATGAGTACTTGTTCAAAAGGGTTCTCGGCGTATGAGACGAAGAAGGTCCTTGTCTTCGCGATGTGTCGTCACAGGAGGTCTTCCGGATCTGGGACGGTCCTGTACATCACCGGTTTTAGTATATTTCTCGACTAAACGGCTTACGACAGTGTAATGATACCCCAAATTCCGACCAATGGCATTACAAGACATTCCTGTGTTATGCATGTTGATTATTTGCCATCATGTGGCGTTTGATAATCGTCTTCGTGCCATGGTCCCACAATGTCATGGAATAACTGTTTTAAACCGAGCTTAAGAAAGCAATTTCAACGTTTGGATATGCTGCACGGGTAGCATGCTGCACGGGCATACCATGCATGGCACTTGAGCTTTCGTCACGCATGACTGATTACATCATCTCGAGAAAACATAATTCTTCCCATAATTATATCTTTCATGACTGTTACAAATATTTGGACCAAACAATAATGAAATATATTAGGGTGTGCTTAACTTTTTTCTTTGTGTATATATTGAAAATGTATTATGATGTGTTCACAGGCACTTTCACTGTTACGCTTGTTTGTTCAGTGAGGTTGTATGAGAACGGGTGGGTCAGTGGTTGTAGCCGTGACGGATGCGCGAAAGGCGGTTCGATTCGCATTTACTACCTTTTGTGATGCATGGCCCTTGCTGCGGGCGACAATAATCGACTGATCGATACTGACATGACAGATTGCTGCTGACGCCACCACCCCGGGAATGTCGCGGAACAGCTTCATACGACACACATGACACGACACAGTGCCTCGCAGCGAGGTGAGGCAAGGCCCGACACGAAACATTGCACGGCACCGCACTAAATAACGGGGGCACGGCTGGCCCAGTCGTCTAAAGCGCCGCGATTCGCTGTGCAGAAACCTATGATTGTGGGTTCGAATCCAGGTTCGCCTCGATTATGTTTCTAGGTTTGTCAGCACCATATCCGTGCTCGTGGGTTTCACCGAAGTGGTATACGTCTGAGACCTGCATCACTTTTGGATTTCCTCCCACATTAAGCTTATACGCCGTGATATAACTGTAATACTGTTAAAAGCGGCGTTTAACCCAACTTTTTAAATCAAGTTAAATATTTTTATTGTAAAGACCTGTCTTAAAAATACAGCAACAGCATGACTCATATCAGGATTTACATAGTTACCATGACACGACGAGGCAAAAGCGACGTCAAATGACATACACGATGTGAGCGTATTGGTTTTAAGACCGCTTTGACATGTGAAGATCCGAGTCAGAAGTCTTCAGCAACCCATGCTTGTCGTAAAAGGCGACTATCGGAGTCGAGAAGTTCGGCCTGTAATCGTATCCCAAATGCGTAGATCGATGCTCATGATGTCAATCACTGGATTGACTCAATTGTTTAAAGACCGCCGTCATATAACTGGAATATTGCAGAGTGCGGCCTTAAACAACAAACAAACAAACATGACGCTACATGACACCTCTCTATAGTTCATGTATAGACCGCTTCGAACACTATTTCTCATATATCACGGCTGACATGACATGACATGACCCCACACGAAATTACATGACACGACACTTACTAAGATAAGATAAGAAAGACTATTATCCCGAGGGAACTGCGTCTTGCAACATAAGAATATTAGCAGTGAAATATACAAACACATATTTTATATAATACATATATCAGAGTATTTGAACAGTATGTGCATGAGTTGAAAGGGAGGTAATTCATTCTTTAAGCTGTACATAATGACACGACATGTGTGCGGTACCTGAGGCATGACCGTCTCTCCGTACATGACATAACCTCGTGTTTACACATGCCAACACCATGACAACACCATTCCAACGATAACAACAATTAGTTCTGCAGTACGACGACACATACATCATCAGCAACTATACACACGACAGAAATACATCAGCTGAAATATCAACCAGCTGTCGCTCACGTTAGTTCCACAGAGCAAATGACAATAACATTTAGAATACGACAAGTTAAATATTTGGAATATGGACGGCTAAATGTATGAATACCGCCTCACTAATACGTGTTGATATTTTCACTGCTACCCCTACTTCTCTGCTTCTCTCCCTCCTTGGGGGTTAAATGGATCCCCATCACAACATGCTTGGCGCAAGGACACTGGTTTGTGTGTTGCGTTAATATACAATGTCATATACACTCTTCAAAAGAAGAAACGCACAGGTAGATTTTAGTAAATTTATTGTACCTAATAAAGTCGATGTCAAGTCGATTCAATGTCATAGATACAAATATGAAGTTTGGGAACTCGATAGTCACATGTTGTCGTTGTACAAAGGCATTGACAACTGTTCATTGTCATGTCACATAAGGCCACAAGGTTGCGCTGAACTCAGTATCTCGTGTGACCGCCCCGGGGCAGCAATCACGGCTCTGCATCTCCTCGGCACTTCCTGGATAAGTGTACGAATTCTGTACCGCTGAATTCTGCGCCATTCTGCTTGTAACGCGTTGGTCAGTTGTGGGAGTGTCTGCGGCATGTTTTGACGTTGACGTACACGTCGATCGAGTTCACCCCCAGAGGTGTTCGATTGGGTTGAAATCTGGAGATCTCGACGGCCAGGGCAAGACGTTGATGTTGGTATTATGAAGGTAGTCTACCGCAAAAACGCTCATTTCGACGATGATAAAGACGTTGTCTTCCATCTCGCCGGTGAAGAAAAATTCGGGATTCAACGCTATACCACATTCGTCACCAGTTTCTCAAATTCCAAGGTTGTAAGGTATGGCACCAACGCAAGCATAGCTGTCGATGGATCTGTTTCAAAACAGGGACGATAACTGGCCTTTCGGGATGGGATTCCAGCCTCGCGAAGATGGTTCCTGACATTCTGGTCCGATATCCTCCTCAAACCAGGTATGCGTCCTGCAGTCTCCGTAGCTGTGGCATTGCGATGACGTAGGTGGAACAGTCGAATGTAGCGATCCTGTGCAGGGGTGGTAACTCTTGGTCGGCCGGTTCTCGGACTGTCTGCAGTGGAATTGAACTGTGTGTGTCGGTCCAAAAGGCAACAAATGGTGCTGTGGTGGACGTTGAAGTGGCGTGCAACAGAAGCCTGCGATTCCCCTCTTTGGATACGTCCTATGGCGATGTTCCGATCGGCAGCGCTGAGTCATTTTTGAACTTGAAAAATGTTGGTAATTGAATGACAAATTATTGGCTTATACTTGCCTTTTTATAGCCACTACCACGAGTTACGAATGTCATAACTTGCACGTGCATTTTGCTTTACTGTTTTCCTCCATGACACTTTTGAACAAGTGTGAAAACAATGCCGCTAAAGACATTGCAAATCGACAATGGCTGCGTTTTGACGAACCGTTTGCCGAATATCAGGCCACCAACATTTGCCGATATCCATTTTTTGTGTAGTCAGGTTTAATGAACTAAATACTACCTGTGCGTTTCTTTTTTCTTTCGAAGAGTGTATATTGAACTGCTTGCCCGAGTGGTTCGATCTAATGATCCTAAAGATCCAAGTTTAAAACGTTTCTCCTCTCTTGACAAGATAGAACATGTGTGGTTATAGATGTTACTTTCAAATTGTTTTTCATATTTTACTTCCATGGCACGGGTGGTCCAGTCTTCTGATGCGCCACGTTTCGCTGTGCAGAGTTGGGCACGCCAGAGACATGATCGTGGGTTCGAATCCCGGTTCGCCCCAGTTATGTTTCTAGGTCTGTCGGCGGCACCAGACCTCTACTCGCGGGGTTCATCAACGTGTAAACGTCTTGGATCTGCATCACTTTGGGCTTTCCTCCAGTGGACACGCCGTGATGTAACTGGATTATTGTTCAAAGCGTCGTTCAACTGCACACAGTCACGCACTCCAAGTTTTAGTAAACTAACGACCAGTCTACCACTGACAGGACGCGTGAAGATCCGGGTAGAATATGTCTTCAGCAACCCATGCTTACAATAAAAGGCGACTATGCTTGTCGTAAGAGGCGACTAACGGGATCGGCTGGTCAGGCTCGCTGATTTGGTTGATGCATATCATCGATCCCAATTGCGTGGATCGATGCTCATGTTGTCAATCACTGGATTGTCTGGTCCAGACTTTACTATTTACAGACTGCTGTCATATAGCTGGAATATTGCTGAGTGCGGCGTTAAACAACAAACAAACAAACAAACAAACCACTGACAGTGAATATACTGGGCGCCTCCGTTACAGTCATTGGATATTCCATAAAAGGCCATGCATTACAGGGAATTGACGAAATTAGAAATATCACGATATGTTGTCATCTTTATCATAAACATTAAATGAAATAAATGTCTAGTCAGCAATTTCCGACAGTGTTCGAAAATCTTTGATTCGAAAACGATTTCCCCTACTTAAACCATGTTATGGTTGATAAATACCTCCTCGGTGTCTATAATTTGCATAATAACCCAAAGTTGCGTCAGTTTTCCTTGATCAAAATGCACGCTCAGTGATTTCCTGGCTCTGCATCAACAGCAACAACAATAGCGAGACGCCATTATAAAGATTTAACATAAATGACACAAAAATATATAAAACGCTCAAACAACAATTATGAAGACAATTATTTTCGCCGGAAACACACCTCCTTGCGCGGCACCGCAAACAAAGTTACAACGGTTCTCAAGACTCAAAGACTGTCTGGTTCCAGTACTGTGAAGAACACAAGAACAGTCGCTAAGGAAGCAGCTGAGTACCATATTCTCTGGAATCTGTATCCTGATAACACCGTCTAGTCCGGGCTACAGCAAGCCTCTCATTTACATAAAGGATACACGTAGACATATTAACTACACCACAAATATATATTATTGTGTTTGTAAGCAAACCGTTTGCCGATACAAGGCGTCATGTCCCGAGCGTTTATGAATATTCGCTATTTATGTTTCAGTATCCGCTTGAACGGTCAGCGTCAATAACCGGATGACTTGACTGGAACTAAAAGAGGAATTATTGATGCCATTGAAACCACGCGTGGCCAACAAGGGCTCGTAATGCAATGGGGTAATTGCCCCGGGAATGTGGCGATGCTGTGGAATTTGTACTGTCATAATTTATTTATCTGAACTGCTATTGATAACAAATACATCGATATTACATATCAATTAAGTGGCTTTAATTAACAAGTGAACCAAATTACGCGAAAAGCTAAGGTATTAAGGTACAGTTCTTAGTGAAATCTTCCATGTACAACACTAGTACGTCAGCTACTACTACTGCTGCTGCTACTGCTACTACTACTACTACTATTACTACTACTACTGCTGCTGCTGCTACTACTACTACTACTGCTGCTGCTACTACTACTAATACTACTACTACTACTACTACTACTACTACTACTACCACTACTACTACTGCTGCTGCTACTACTACTACTGCTACTACTACTACTACTACTACTACTATTACTGCCTTAACCTCAACTGCTTCGTCGACGTTTGCTACAACAACTACTGTGTCCCTTCTACTGCCGCCTCATCATCTTCAACAACCCTGACCACGGCTGGTTATACGTCGACTTACCTCAACACTGCTACTTCTTTTGCCGCTACCGATCTCGCCACTGGTACTACTATTGCCGCTACCGATCTCGCCACTGGTACTACTATTGCCGCTACCGATCTCGCCACTGGTACTACTATTGCCGCTACCGATCTCGCCACTAATACTACTATTGCCGCTACCGATCTCGCCACTGGTACTACTATTTCCGCTACCGATCTCGCCACTGCTACTACTATTGCCGCTACCGATCTCGCCACTGGTACTACTATTGCCGCTACCGATCTCGCCACTGGTACTACTATTGCCGCTACCGATCTCGCCACTGCTACTACTATTGCCGCTACCGATCTCGCCACTGCTACTACTATTGCCGCTACCGATCTCGCCACTAATACTACTATTGCCGCTACCGATCTCACTACTGTTACTACTATTACCGCTACCGATCTCGCCACTGGTACTACTATTGCCGCTACCGATCTCGCCACTGGTACTACTATTGCCGCTACCGATCTCGCCACTGGTACTACTATTGCCGCTACCGATCTCGCCACTGCTACTACTATTGCCGGTACCGATCTCGCCACTGCTACTACTATTGCCGCTACCGATCTCGCCACTAATACTACTATTGCCGCTACCGATCTCACTACTGTAACTACTATTACCGCTACCGATCTCGCCACTGCTACTACTATTGCCGCTACCGATCTCGCCACTGCTTCTACTATTACCGCTACCGATCTCGCCACTGGTACTACTATTGCCGCTACCGATCTCGCCACTGCTTCTACTATTTCCGCTACCGATCTCACTACTGTTACTACTATTACCGCTACCGCCACTGCTACTGCTATTTATGCTTCCCACCTCGCCAAGACTACTGCTATTACCGCGTCCGATCAGTTAGCTATCAGTTAGAGACCCATGCTGCAAATTAGCGACCCATGACATCAGTTAGCGACCCACGATATCAGTTGGACATCGTGCATGTCTTGTCCAATCTGCACCACAATCCTTACCGCATTCACCAATCCCCAGACTCTCATTCATAAAATACTTCATCGTCTTTAGTTTGGCATCAAAGGCGTAATCACATCCCGTACATCAACTCGTCCGCACATCATATATATCGTTAGTACATAGTGTAGCGGCATAAGTAACCAGTTTAGCCACCTAACATTATATGACCTTTTATCATGGGGAGACAGAGCCACGTCTAGACAGCACTGATGTGTGGCATCTATTGTATGATGATTAAGTGAGAATCATCTCAACGGCTCCTAATACAGCTTTAATCAGCCATGTGCTTGACGAATTGTTTTGATGCAAGGGATAACTTGCCGCAAAGAGGTTCGCTCGAGTGACCTACTGGGAGTTACTCCGCCTGGAGCGGCACCTCCGCGAGTCTAGGTGTCGGCATTGAGAGATGATTTGGTCGGACAGAGAGTTCATGAGTGAGTGCAAGTCGGATCGTATAGTGCTGATAAATTGTCAATTGAAACCGTTTCTCTTGAGGCACTATATGGAGGGGGTATATCAGTGCTTGATCAGAGTACGCAAAGGTTCAGACCCGTGAAGATCCGGGGTAGAATAGGTCTTCAGCAACCCATGCTTGCCGTAAAAGGTGACTATGCTTGTCGTAAAAGGCGACTAACGGGATCGGGTGGTCAGACTCGCTGACTTGGTTGATGCATGTCATCGATCCCAATTGCGTGGATCGATGCTCATGATGTCAATCACTGGATTGTCTGGTTCAGACTCGCCGTCATATAGCTGGAATATTGTTGAGTGCGGTGTAAACAACAAATAAACAAACAAACGTATAGGTTCGAGTGAGTGATATTGAGTTAGGTTTGAACATTGTTTCAGGTACATCACGGCGTGTCACCTTGATGTGTGTGTGTGTGTGTGTTTGGGGGGGGGGGGGGGGGGGGGGTAAATAAAAGCGACAAAATCCTTTCCATACTTATAATAAATCTAAGCTGAAAGCAAAGTCGATTTATGATTCCAATTATTTCATAAGAATGTGATTGTGAATCACTATCAAATAAGACGTTTACTCCGTTGGTGAAATCCACAAGCATCACGGCGTGTAGAAATGGGCTTTACACGGTGTAGATATATTGGGAATCGAACCCAGGTTTTAGGTCAGATGAGCGAACGCTTTAACGAATGGGCTACGACATGTAAATATCGCTAGAGGGGAATAAGTGTTATTTATGGTGACTGTACATCGAGAGGAGAACAAGTGTTATTTGAGGTGACTATGTCCAGCTGGATGAGACTAAGTGTTAATTAAGGTGACTGTATGGCTAGAAGAGAATAAGTGTTATTTGAGGTGACTATGTCCAGCTAGATGAAACTAAGTGTTATTTAAGGTGACTACTGTATGGCTAGAAGAGAATAAGTGTTATTTGAGGTGATTTTGTACAGCTAGAGGGAGTAAGTTTTATTTGAGGTGGCTATGTATAGTCTGGGGAGACTAAGCGTTATTTGAAGTGAATGTGTATAGCTAAAGGAGACAAAGTGGTATTTGAGGTTACTATTTTGCTTGGTGAGACTAAGTGTTTTTTCGAGGAGACTAATTAATGTGTATATTGCTTGAGAAGACTATGTGTCCAGCCCCTCGTCTAGGAGTACACTCTGACAATCGTCGTTAAGGATATAGTTATCTAATATACATTCTAACGATGAGACCATTTAAAGATGATCGTTAAATTGCAAATTAACATGTTATATTTCGAATAAAGTGCTATTATGTTTTGTGTAGATAGTGTGTGTGAGTTTGTATATGAGTGTGAGTGTGTGTGAGAGAGTGTGTGTGTGAGTGTATGTGTGTGTGAGTGTGTGTGAGAGAGAGAGAGTGTGTGTGTGTGTGTGTGTGTGTGTGTGTGTGTGTGTGTGTGTGTGTGTGTGTGTGTGTGTGTGTGTGTGTGTGTGTGTGTGTGAGTGAGTGTGTGTTGTCTCAGCAATAACGGCATTGAACCGGCCATAATGATCAACACTGAATCTGTTTATTCGACCAACATACCATCACATTTCACCTAATGATGGTCCAGCCTGATACAGACGCCGATACACTGGAGCTGACGATGGGCGGGATAAGTAACCGAGTTAAAGAATGACCTGTGGTCAAGAAGGGGTAATGAATTGCTTGACAAGTGTCACATGTGACCCAAGGGTGGGCCTGGGGTTGGTCAGTTGGGGTCAGTAGCATACATGATGAGTTTGTAGCCCAGAGCGACCCTGTGCTTGACATAGTGAGCTATATTCGCGATGAGGCGATTCAGTCGATAAACCGCTAATAACGACGTATTGACCACGGAAGCTCTAGGACAGAAATGAAGTATAATTTGGTGATACATTATCTCAAACAGTCCACCTTTTAGCTATATTACGTGAAATGAATCAAAAAGACAATATTCAAGCCACTGTCCCATGTGCAGTCAGTTCGTGATACCATGCAGCAGTAAAATGATTGATTTCGTTTGGAATAATTTAAAAAAAGTTGAAACCAGAGTAATACCTGAAATCCATTGTTTTTCTTGTGTTTTTTTTATCAAATAATGCTGTTATCAATACGCAATCCACTTTAAATGAATTTTTTTATTTTTCCGTTATGTCAGATGAGGTAAAGCACTTTTGTTCAATTGTTTTTTATTCTTAAATATTGATTATTATGGCTAGGGTGACCCATTCAACTTATACGTGGTTTGCTCTGACCTTGACATTGGCTACATGATTCTTTCGTGGATCAAATATGGTGAAAAGAAAAGTGATAAAGCCGGTTTCAAAATCATTCGAAATCTCTGCTAGAAGCAGAGTCCATTGCACTATTCCAGTTGGGTGGGTGAGTGAGTGAGTGAGTGAGTGAGAGTGAGTGAGTGAGTGAGTGAGTGAGTATGGTTTTACGCCGCTTTTAGCAATATTCCAACAATATCACTGCGGGGGACACCAGAAATGGGCTTCACACATTGTACCCATGTCGGAAATCGAACCCGGGACTTCAGCGTGACGAGCGAACGCTTTAACCACTAGGCTACCCGACCGCCCCTCCAGTTGTGAGTGTATTCCATCGATACTGATGATACATTAACACTTTCAATCATATTACATAGGGATTACTACACGAGTAGCCGTCAGATACCATTATTTCACAACATGCTGTCTCAAAACGAATATAGTCAATTATTGATTGCAGTTGAGTATTATGACAGGCACAAATGCAGTTATCTGTTTCTTACACACCCTAACATCGCACCCTTTTAGCTTCGATGCTATATATCATGATCACGGTAGCGCATTAATGCATAACAGAACGACCCGTGAATATCCGGGTTAGAATAGGCCCTTACAACTCATGCGTGTCGTAAGAGGCGACTAACGGGATCGGGTGGTCAGGCTCTCTGACTTGGTTGAGGCATGTCATTGCATCCCAATTGTGTTGATTTGGTGCTCGAGTCAATCAGTCGATTGTCTGGGTCAAGACTCGATTATTTACCGCTGGAGTATTGCTAAAAGCGGCGTAAAACCATACTCATTCACTCACTAACTCACTCATTCGTGCGACATGCATTGCTAACCCGGAACCCCAACGGTTGTGTGCGTCCGTGAAGCCACTGCATGTTTGTTGTGTAGGCCATGGCCAGTGTACAAGTGCATAGCTGCTTATGGCAACATCTCAAATAATGACATAGCTGTAGAACAGTATTAAAATATCCTGGGGAGGCTTTAAGGCCTCAATGTATGCAATATGTTATTCATAATCGACGAGATTGTAGATGATGCACCCACACGGCCCTCGTGAAGTTCCGGGATAGAGTTGGTCTTTAGCAATCCATGCTTGTCGAAAGAGAGTTGCGGCGCGTAACCAATTGGACCACCTTCTACGTGTGTTTGTTTATTTGTTTATTTCTTTGTTTGTTTAACGCAGCGCTCATCACTATTCCATCTATATGACGGCGGTCTGTAAATTATCGAGTCTAGACCAGACAATCCAGTGATTGACAAGAGCATCGATCCATGCAGTTGGGATACGATGACATGCCACAACCAAGACAGAGTGTCTGGCCACCCGATTCCGTTAGTCGCCTCTTACAAAAACAAAAGCATGGGATGCTGACGACCAATTCTTACCCCAAATCTTCCATGGGACGAGAGGGGACAGTTAACAATCGAGTCTGGACCAGACAATCCAGGTGGACCAGTCGTCTAAGGCGCCGCGATTCGCTGTGCAGAGTTGCGTCCCTTGGGCACGCCAGAAACCTATGATTGTGGGTTCGAATCCAGGTTCGCCCCGATTATGTTTCTAGGTTTGTCAGCACCATACCCGTGCTCGTGGTAAACGTCTGAGACCTGCATCACTTTGGGCTTTACTCCCACATTAAGCTGACACGCCGCGATATAACTGGAATACTGTTAAACCCAACTCACACATGTATTCGGCGGACTAATAAAAACCCCGACAACCGCCCCACAAAGTCGGAGTAAATAAACTGACCGGCAAAAGAAAGTACACACTTGAAAATTGGATCCGACAAAAATACAAACGTGATCAAAACGTTACTAGGCTGAAAACAGTCCCCGAAAAACTGTGACCTTCAGGTCCAAAATACAACTGTGATACTCTAATCAAATACATCACCCGTGAAGATCCGGGGTAGAATAGGTCTTCGGCAACCCATGTTTGCAGTAAAAGACGACTATGCTTGTCGTAAGAGGCGACTAACGGGATCGGGTGGTCAGGCTCGCTGACTTGGTTGATGCATGTCATCGTATCCAAATTGCGTAGATCGATGTTCATGATGGCAATCACTGGATTGTCAGGACCAGACTCGATTATTTACAGACCACCGGCATATAGCTTGTATATTGCTGAGTGGGGCATTAAACAACAAACAATCAACATCACCATCAAACATGAGTGTAAACTTTCTTTTGCTCTAAGGGGGCACGGGTGGCCCAGTCGTCTGTGCAGAGTTGCGTCCCTTCGGCACGCCAGAAACCTATGATTGTTGGTTTGAATCCCGGTTCTCCCCGATTATGTTTTTAGGTTTGTCAGCACCATACCCGTGCTCGTGGGTTTCATCCGAAGTGGTAAACGTCTAAGACCTGCATCTCTCGGGGCTTTCCTCCCACATTAAGCTGACACGCCGTGATATAACTGGAATACTGTCACTCACTCACTCACTCACTATTTTGCTCTGCAGTGTAGCAGTGAGAGTCAGGTGAGCTTATCAAACTACTGAGTGGTGTGTTCAGTTTCCGTAGTTGGTTCATGTCCCATGTAATTTCATGAATGGGGAAATCAATCTAAAGAGAAATTTAACAAATTCAATGAATACATTCTCCCCACGTCCTCGTGGAATGCCAATATGAAAACCTGACAGGCACGCACTGTGCTTCATGCATATGCCTTCA